GTCACTTTTCCAGGGAAAGAGCCAAGACCTGCAGAGGTGCTTGCTGATGGTGGAGGAAATACAGAATGGGTCGTAGAGGAAGGTAGTTACAAATACCAACTTAGGCCACGTGACCAGTTGCAGAAACGTGGATTATAATTGACATGAGTATTTTTGTCCTATTTGGTTAAGAATAGGCTTGTGCATGTATATACATGTTAAGCAGATACTTCAGTCATTCTTTTTTGAATATGTAATCAAGATGTGTTAAGTGGTTAAGTGTTGTGAACCTATATGATTATATTGGGTTATGAGACACTAAAGGACTAAACATTCCTCGAAGGCCTTATCACCCACTCTAAGATATATAATGCATTGGTCATTGTATTATGGGATAGTTATATCATGTTAGGTGAAACTATGACCTCAACATTGTTTTCATTTGAAAATTAAGCATGACATAGAAAGGCGCTATTGTGCATCAAGTTGACAAGGGGTGGACTTGTGATGGCTAATCCTGGGTGTCAACTTGATTGGATCTGAGATTAACTGAAATGAAAGGGATCTTCTTGATTGGATCATCTGAAGCTGGAAGACACACCCTAAATGTGGGTGTTACCTTCTGATGGCAGCCGGTATAAAAGACCAAGGCAGAGGAGAACGCGGGGCTTTTTGCAGCTTGCCTTCTCTCTCTCTGGTGAGTTTGTCTTGCTGCTGCAGACTGAAGGCTAGCTGATATTTTGGAATTTGTCAGACCTTCAGCACCAGATTGGGACTACTGAGACATCCAGCCTTGTGGACTGAGCAACTACAGAAACTATGGATAAGCTCCAGCATATAAAAGGTAAATCGGTAAATTGCAGGCTTTAGCTTGTACTTAAAAAGTGTTGGCATTATCACACACACATGTTGCCAAATATACCCAAATGTAAAACCTTGTAGTACATGAAATGTTCTTTATAAACACTTGACATTCAACATAGTCAACATTGGAATCCTGTTACTTCTTGTCTTGTCAGAAAAGAAGAGAATAAAAGTTCTTCCTTGAATTATACTAATATACTGTTTGTTCTAAACTCAAAGTTTTGCTTTTTAATTTTCAAAAGCCCTAAAAAAGGGGCTTTAAAAATTAATAGTGGCCTTTTCTAAGTCTGCCCTTGGGTCTGTTTATATGATGGTTACATTTATTGATTTACATATATTGAACCATCCCTGCATCTCAGGAATGGAACCAACTTAATTATGGTGGATAAACTTTTGTGTGTTCTTGCATTCATCTTGGGAGTATTTTTGCATCTATGTTCATCAGAAATATTGGCCTAAAGCTTTCTTTTTTGTTGAGTCTTTGAGTATCAGGGCAATATTGACTTCATACAAAGGACTTGAGAGTGTTCCTTTTCTATTTCATGGAATAACTTAAAGAATATTGGTAGTAGTTCTTTGGAGCTTTGATAGAATTCTGCACTGAATTCATCTGGCCCTGGGCTTTTTTAATTGGGAGATTTTTAATTACCATATCATTTTGTTCATTGTTATGGGTCTGATTATGCAGGTCATTTTTATTTATCTATAACTGTATCAATTTCTTTTAGATTTTCCAGTTTTATGGATCATGGATTTCAAAATTATGTCCTTATGGTTTTATGAATTTTCTCAGGGTCAGTTGTAATGATCCTCTTTTCTAAGCATTAATTTTGATTCTTCTCTCTCTCTCTCTCTCTCTCTCTCTCTCTCTCTCTCTCTCTCTTTGTGTGTGTCCTTGCTTTCTTTTTTCCTTCCTTCCTTTCTCTCTCTCTCTCTCTCTCTCTCTCTCTCTCTCTCTCTCTCTCTCCCTCTCTTAGTTTGTCTAAAGGTTTGTTAATGTTGTTAATCCCTTTAAGGAGCCAACTTTTCATTTCTATGATTCTTTGTATTAGCATCTTTGCTTCTATTTTATTAAGTTCAGGCCTGATTCATCTCTTCCCATCTACTTTTTTAAGGTATTGTTTTCTCTTCATCAAGGCCTTTAGGTTCTTCATTGGGTTATTAATAAGAGTAACTTTCTGTTTTAGGCCATTAATACTGTAAATATTCCTCTTTGGGCTGCTTTCATTGTGTCCCATAGATTTTGATAAACTAGGTTTTCACTTTCTTTCAATTTTGGAATTTTTAAATTTCATCTTTATTTATTCTTTGATCTAATTTTCATTTAGTAGTGTATTGTTTAGCTTCTATGAGTTTGCATACTTTTCATATTTCTACCATTGTTGATATCTAGCTTTATTCGTTTGTGGTTGGATAGGACCTATATTGAACCCTCTTCTCCGAAGATCAGGGATCATTGAAGAGGGGGCAGAAAGATATAAGAGTCAGGGGTAGTAGATTAATGCAAGGAAACTATGTTGTCTGGACAACACAGGGTAGTTGCACATATGAACACTTATGACAATATACACAAGACCTATGAAAATCCAAATCAGACATGGCCCAGACTGGATGGGTCAGTGGGCAGAAAGCCCCAGCCAAAATCCATGATTTATTGGCAACTGATAGATGCTGATGAGAGAAGGAACAGTCAGTTTTCCTTACTGATGTGATTCCTGGTAGGCTGACCAGATTCCAAAGGATAGAGCCACACCCAAGAGCACTTGGGAAACACAGACTGGACTCAATAGGCTTTTTTTTTTTTAATTAAAAAAAAAGAAGATAAATAATAATAGAGGACATGAAGTCCAGGGAGCAGGTAGTAAGGTAAGGGAAAAAGGGGGAAGGAGGTCTGAATATAATCAAAATAAATTGTATGAAATCCTCAAATAGCTACAAAATTAAATAATAAAAAATTTAAAAATCTGTTATGAACAAATAAAATAGTAGGATGCTGGGGAGATGACTACATGGATAAGAATACTTGTTGCAAAAACAAGAGGAACTTAGTTCATATCCCCAGCACAAATGTAAAAACCAGGCAGGGCTGCATGTACCTGTAACCCCAGCACTGGGAGGCAGAGGCAGGCAGATCCCGGGAGTTCTGCAAACCAGTACAGATGAAATGGTGAACTTCAGTAAGTGAATCTATCTCAAAAGAGGTGGAAAGTGATAGACATAGACTCCTGAAGTCCTTCTCTGGCTTCCACATGTGTAGCCCAAATGTGCACACCTGCATACACACATGTGTACACAGCACACATACAAAGAAAGAAAGAAAGAAAGAAAGAAAGAAAGAAAGAAAGAAAGAAAGAAAGAAAGAAAGAAAGAAAGAAAGAAAGAAGGGATGGAGGGAGGGAGGGATAGTGGGAGGCTGGGAATGTATATAAGCTATAGTGTACTTGTCTGGAATACATAAGGACATGATTTCAATCCATAGTATTACATAATAAATAAATAAATTTGGCTTATATGTATTCTTTAGGCTACTATAGTAATATATTTATCAGAATCATGGAAAACTGTAAGTAAACATGAAGGAAATTCTTAATGAAAGAGATGAAATTTTTACATGTAATCTTTTACTAAGGATAAATTAAAGACACTTGAATCAGGAGACTTGAGGTTTCTCAAGATAACCTATAATATGTTAACATATTATCATAAAATTATAAAATAATAATAAAACCCCATGCTGCTTCTTCACTAATACCCTGAATTTCTTCTAGTCACAATTCAGTTCACAAAAAATGTAGTGAATGCCTAACTTAGGTAACACATGTTTATTTTCTTCCTCATCTCAGTTTCAAGATATGAATTATTTTTATTTTTCCACTTTAGCCACTCTGCTTGTCACACCCACAGCACCCTCTACACCTGTGTGTTACAATCTGTTATCTCATTTTAACTCATCCATGGTTTGTTCAGCATTCCGAAGTTAGCTCATTGAGCTCTTACTCCACTCCTTAATGGCTTGCATGTAGTTCCTTTCCAATTTCCATATCTATGGGTAATTCACCTCAGTGCTAATATTCTCTATCTGGGACTATGAATTGTTGAAAATAAATTAGAAACCACCACTCTAGCCATTCAGCTGTACTATCACTCCAGCAACAATTACTTTTAATGTACTGAAAAGAATTAAGTATGAAGAATGCATGGCCTGTGGATTTTCAGTGTCCCTCTTCAATTTTTAAGGCACTTTCTCAAGCAGATCTTGGTGTCAGAAACCTAATCTAAGTAATGAGTGGATGTAATAAGCATCCTTCTCTGGAGTGAATACAACACTCATCTGGGGACACAGGAAGGCAAATTTCCAGCCACCAATTCTGCATAATCTGGGACAAGCTCCAAAGTTTCCACTATATCATTTTGAACTATGGACTCCATTTGAATGAAATATGGGCCTTTCCTCCTTAATTGCATTTGGTCTTTGATGAATAGAATTCATAAGGCATAAACATTTACATCAGCTGAAATCATAATTTCACAGGTGCAATACATATATCTTAGCCAGTGGCATCACATTGGTCTACTACTGGGATATTGGCCCAAAATCCATGCAATGACAAATACTTCTAGATTAACTGACTGCTTACAGTCTAGATTAAGAATAATTCTGTGAAAGTGCAAAGCTCTCTCTAAGATTCCAGTGACTGCCTAGGAGAGTGTTCTCTGATCTCACTTTCTCCGTGCTGCTTCCTCCTTATACATACACACACCATTTTATGTTTTTTTTAAATGGGGGAATAATTTTGAGTTTGTTGTTGTTCTTTTTATTAAATTTGTTCCTTGACATTTTCTCATGTGTATATGAAGCATTCTGATTAGTGCCTACCTTCATTGATGACCCTATCTTTGTAACATCATTGACTTTGTTTTGTTTTGTTACACACTGAGTCTAACCAGACCCATCCATGTAAGCATGGGGTTGGTGCTATCACCACTGAATCATAGTGGGCTCACCAGTGGCTACTTTAAGACATTTGAGAAAGAATTAAAGAAAATTTTAGAAGGCAAAAATATTTTTGATGCTCATAGACAGGAAAAATTAATACTGTGAAAATGATGATCCTTCCAAAAGCCATCTACAAATTGACAAATAGAGTTTATAATCCTGGAAATATCCTAAAGAGATATTGGATCATATATGACATGGAGCACTTAAAACTCACACATAGGTTTTTTTAATGTACTCAATCCCCATTCCCAGTACTGATGGTTTTCCCTTACTTAATAACAGTGCATCCATATTTCAGTCATTTTCTGCATCCTCCTGCTTCTTTTCTGTATTTCCTGCTTCTTTCTATGTTACTTACTTCACTTCTAGATTGATTCTGCAACTCAAAATTAGAATGCCTCTATCAAGCAGAGCAATTCAGCCTTGGTCAGCACCTATACCCACATGCTTCTAATCAAAACTATCATAACAGAGGCCATAGTAAATGTACCTTTTGACAAAATCCACGCTTCCTTAGTTGCAGTCACCATTTTAATGGCAAACATTTTTTAAGTAATAAGACTTAAAATGTTCTTGTGTCTTCTATTTTAATGCCAGGAAATTCTGTCTATGTAGGCAGTTTCTACAAATTGCCATTTGTTTGCTGCCATGTATTATGGCATGAATTACCAATCCATCCCAAATTTCATTTTCACCTCATAAGAATGGGTTTAATTGGGGTCACAGTGGATAACACAAGGAAATCAATGAGGCAATTAGTGAGATTTCTATAAACTTCTATGAAGTAAATTCTTAGGAAAATAAACTATGTTTAAGATTATGCAAGACTAACTGGTTAAAACTTCATGCTTGTGAAGAGTTAGAATGTGGCATATCCAGACCTAAATTTTCTTGGGTGATCTTTACTTCACTTAATAGCCATTTATTGCCCACCATTTATTGTTTTGTTTTGTTAACAAAGCATCTTTTGAATTATCAGGTAAAATCTTTGAAGTACATTAACAAACACTAACTTCTACCAAAAAGAAAGCTATTCATGCTATTAGATCACATCTAAAGCCTATAGCAGAATTCTCCCCCCCCAGCACCACACACAGCATACTTTGCTATACCTACCTGATGTTTTTACCAATACATTTGTAAAAAAAAAAAAAAATTTCTTTGATCTTTGGTCTTTTTTTGAGCTATGTGACTATCAAAGGTCATTAGCTGCTTATATGTTAGAACATGTTGTTCAGAGCAACTTGAATACATGTTCCCTAGCCATAGTCACTCGTATTTGGCTCAGAACAAACTCTCATATTCCCTTTGAAATGAGAGGTGTTTTGAAACGTTTTCCTTTTCCTCCCTTCGTAAAATTTCCCAAAAGATCCAAATATTGCGCTCATGAGCTGGGTTTCCCCATCTCTCTTTCTTTCTTCTTTTCTTTTGACCTCCTCTTTACCTCTAGCCATCACACTTGTCTTAATACTCAGGGGACAGATAATATGAAAGCTTTGATTGGAAAGGTTTTCAAACAAATTACTAGGAGCAACTACCAAACTGAACTTTTTTTTTTTTTTTGGTCTTTTTGAGACAGGGTCTTCCTGTAGCCCCAGTTGTCCTGGATCTCACTATGTAGACAGGCTGGCCTTGAACTTACAGAGATCTGCCTGCCTCTGCCTCCTAAGTGCTGGGGTTAAAGGCATGTGCCACCATGCTGGAGAGCTGGCGCAGCCCTTAAAGGCTCAGGCTCACAACCAAAAAGACAAATTGAACAATTTTAATATAAGCAAAAAATCACCTTAACATCATTTGATGTCTTTACTTCAGAAACTTCTCCCTCTCTAGGCCAGCTTTTGTTTTCTTGAAACTTAAAGCATTTCTTGAGTTTTGTGACCCGGAATTTCCTCTGACCCTAATATGACAAGCCATGATTCCACCTCTTTCCCACACTCTCCTGAAGGAGTCAAGCCCATTAAGGGGAAGGGCTACGGATATATAAGCCAGGAAAACCATGGGGTCGATCTCTCTCCATTTTATGTGATGGTCGAGAAGCCACAGGATTTATATTTGCGTGTGGACTTTCTAGCACAGTCATGAATGGGGTAGTGGCCATTTTTGGAAGAGAGTGCAGAGACCATGGTTGGGATCGTGCATGCCTCAAACATGGGAAAGAAAAGCCTCCACCTCTTTGTAAATCAAGCCCTGTCCCAGACATCATATAAACTATGCAAAACCCAAGTAGAATGTATTATGTCAGTTTTGTCAGTCCATGTCAGGACTGTGAGACCCTGAGTGAGGGTGGGGAAGGGAAAATTTAGTGAAACAATTCATGCAGTGTGGCAGGATGACGCTGGAAATGACAAACCACAGTTCAGGAAAAGCAAGGGGGTTAAGGCACTCTCACATGGGTTATACAATGGATCATAGAATATGTAACTAGAATGACATGGGCCATGCAGACATGGATGGATTTAAAGGGGAAAAACCCTGGGCCACAACGATCCTGTAAATGTGGGAAAATAGCTCAGTTACTTCTATGTGAAGATTCTTTAAAGGATATAGACAGCCTACAAAAAATTTACAAGCCTTGGACACAAGAGGGGAATCCAGAGAGAGGGCGTGGCCACCTTGCATAATAAAAGATTGTTCCAAGACAAGGGCAGCCCTAGTCCAGGCTGAAAAGACCAGGAAGTCTGACAAATTCAGTCTCAGCTTCAGAGCATGAGAGAGAGAAAAAAAACGGGAGATTTTTAACTTGCATAAGGTTAGGGGACCAGAAGTCAAAGGACCCAAGGAAAAAGACAGTAATGAGAAAAAAAAAACAACCTAAAAATAATAGTAGCTAAAGCTTCCCCTCAGATTTAACAACCTTTGATGCAAAAAGAAAAAAGTTAACAGTAGAGTAGCTAGAAGGAAATACTCCACACTGGAACTGTTGAAACTAAGAAAGACTTTCAAACAAGCAATCAAAGAGCCCCTCACCACATGGCTTGTGAAGGAATGGGGCATGGGAATAAATAATATAGGTTTAAGTCCTTTAGAAGCATCATAGCTGAGTTATATAACCACCCATACATCCTAGCGACATAGGCTGTTTAACCTTGGCCAAACAGAAGGGAGCAGTCCCTAATGGAATGGCTTATGCAAGGTATTAAAAATACATTGTCATCACCAATGGAGACTCCCATGATTAGCAGGGGCTGGAGGACCATAAAAGAGGGACAGGAGTTACTGAGAGAACTAGATATGATAAAAGCAATATGTAATACCCAGTTCACTGGGCCAGATGGGGCTGTTTACCAAAGATATAAAGGAAAGCTTAATTCAACTGGGACCTTGAGAATGGTACAGAGCTTTAATGGTTTTGATAAGTCCTATAATGGGACAGGATCTTTGTAAAGGGAGAGAGCCTTTGGCAGATCTAAGTGACTCAAATCAGCTTGTAAACCATGTCTGCAGAATAATAGAGCAACAACAAGAGATATAAAAAAGACCAGACAGAAGAATCGGTCTATTTGGGTTATTTGAAGACAATTGTGGCAAGATTTACGTCAAGCTCAAATTCCCAAAGAAAAACATCGATAGAAAACCAAATTTGGTACTAAGGAGTTTCTAAAAGGCTTTAAAACCTGAAGAACAGTTCACAAAAGGCATTCAGAAGATAAAAACTGTCCCAGGGTGGTTAAGGATCCCCAAGGATTAAATAAGGTACATTTCTCTCCTGAGAAAGGCAATGCTGGGGATAGAGGCAGTTTTTCCCACCAGGTGTAGTCAATGGAAAGGCAGCAGATATGGCTACAGCCAGGAGGCAGACCCAGGGTCTGCATGACTCAGGAAAATAGGTACAGCAGGGACAAGAGAGATCCTCTGCCTCCTTAGCCAGATACAGGTTCAGGCAACCTGAGCCAGAACCTGCAAATGTACCAAGGATAAAAAGATACAAAGAGACTCCATGTAAAATCCCCGGGATGGGGAATGACTCCAAAGGGATAACTAAAGATTGTAAAGAATTACCCAAATTAATGACTCTTACTCATGCTATGGTACCTAAAAGAGATCCATGGAGAAGGCAGTTAATATAACTGGATAAAACCTTTCCACACTGTGTTAGACCTTGTCTATGATTCATTTAATATATGATGTTAACCTTTTAGTGTTTAACAGATGTGAAACCCATTTGAAAGATATCAAGTACGCCTGAAGAAACAGGCCTGCAATAGCTGTAAGATTCTTGGAAATTTTATAGTTGGGTAAAATAAAAACAGAGGCTCCCAAACTGTACAACTGTTAAGAAAAAAACTAGAGTACCAGGGGTGAGTTGCTACCCCCATGATCTGTTGGTCAGAGAGATCCTAGAGGTCCTCAAATTAACCAAGGCTATTGTCACTAATGTCAATTGTACACTAGAAATGTCAGTAAGGTCATGTTGCTGAAGACACTACATGATGTGTGCACAGGAGAAGACGAGACAGAGCCAAAACTAAGCTGAAAACTCCATGCCACTGGATGAATGTTTCCATAGTGTCAAAAGGTGCTATGCAGATGGTTGGGGGGAAAAGGATCTTCTATGATTCTGCATGATAATGGACTCCAAATGCCGCACACTATGGACATGCCAAGCAATGCCTGTAAATGCAATAATGGCTCAACTAACATACATACAACTGACAAATTTTTAATTGGATAAGGCCCACTCCTAGTGGTGGAACACACAGCTGGTGCCATAGACCAGGCCAACCCCCTATGTCAAAAAAAGCTATATGCCCCAGAAGGGAAGCCATTGCAAATATATTGTTTAATGAATATGGTACATTTACTGGGATATATTCTAGGCATTTGTATTTACATCTGTGTTTGTTCAGATGTGTCTATTTCCTTCCATTTGTCTTTATAGTAGGGGAGACCC